CCCGCCCCGCCCCATGTCTCTTAAATCAGGAAAGTCAGATCTGTCTTCAACAAACAGCGTCCTGGCAACGCTGAGAATTCAGCCAGATCCCAACCGCGCAGCACAGCTGGGCAGTTTCACCATGAAATAAACAAATCCATGTCGGTGCCCGTGCCCCGAAGTCACTACCATGTCAGCCCCAGTTAAGGCGCGCCACCAGTTTACGACTGGGGAGCCCCACCACCACCACCACCGGTCAGTCTCCTTCCCTGCCCCCCCATTCGAGAATAATTAGTTGCCAAGAAATTGGCACGGATTCTGCACCCGCACCCCCCCCCATCTAAGTTTTCGGGGTGGTGGATGATGGAGAGACTTCGTTATTCCCCGTAAGCGCTCCAGCCATCATCCCACGGCCGGTTTCCAAGGCAGTTCTGGCACGGAAGGCGGGGGCGCGACCCTAATGGAAATATTTAGCTTTAGGGCAGCACAAACTGGGACGCTGCCCAGCAAAGGGACAAAGGCCCGTAACGCCCTTCCCACGCACCTATGTTATTAACAATAAGAGGGTCGCGGCAACCGGCAGCTTTACCCACGCGGGACGCGGAATAAGTCCCCTCCGTCGGCGCTGAATGGCAGAGCTCCGAGGCCTTCACTTCCCGAAGCCCCCCTCCTCCCTTTAGGACCTTCTGGGTCCTAAAATCCGTCGGGTTTCCTGGTGATATCTTGTCGGCGCATGCGTGCCTGAGGTATACTTTCTGTCGCTCTCGCTCTCTTGAACATTCATCCGTTTTTGAAACCAGGCTTGGAAGGTAGAAGAGGAGCGAGTGCGGCTGAGCCGCTTTTCGCATCCTTCCCACATTTTAGCTGTATTATTTCGTCCTCATTGGTTCCACAACAGGCCAGAAGTAAAAGAAGGAGACGGTGTGGTTTAGGAGATGCCTTGTTTTCCTGTGCCTTGTTTCTGATTCCTTTCTTCTTTCTTTCTTTTTTAGACCACGAGTGGGAGAAAAGAGGCAGCAGGCAGTCGGGGAACGTGAAAGGGAAGAGGGACAAATTTTATTTATTTATAAGACAGAGAAAAAGCGGGAGAGATTCTTTAGTTATACTGGAGAGGATTTAGACTGTTGGGGTTTATTCCCCCTAGCTTATTATTATAAGAGCATTTGTGCTTTTCTCCATTTGGGTCGGTTCCCTCCTCACTTCCAGGATAGCATCAAATTACAAAGTATATTAGCTTGGTGTATTTATTTTCAAGTTTCACTTCATTTTGTAAAATGAACAAGGTAGTTTTTACAGTCTCAGCTTTGTCTAGTATCCTGTGAATGTAACTTGTCTTGTGGAAATTTTATTTATTTATTTTATTCATTTTTACTCCACCTTTCTCCTTAAAAAGAACCCAAGGCGGCTTATATCGTTGAAAGAAAATATTTAAAACTGAAAGCAACGAGTATACAACGCTGATTTACATCATTACAAGACAATACTGTATTTAAAGCTAAGAATAATAGCTATAAAGAGGCAGATTGCATCATTGAAAAACAATATTAAACTAAAACAATAAGTATGCAGACATTAAAAAGGAACAAGTACCACTCTGAGAGATGGTAAACACAAGCAGTACTAAGGATCCAGTCAGAGCAGTAAATTCATAACAATCCATCTAAAAGTCACACTCGTGGCCAGTTACTGAGTGAAAGCTTGCCTGAAGAGAAAGGTTTTTGCTTGTGATTGTGATCTAAAATCATGAGTATCCCTCTCTATGAAGAATATCTCTTCTGGAACTTCGTTGAGATATTTGAGACTTTGGAACAGTTTGCCATCAGAGATTCGCCTGGCACCCTTGCTGGGTGTTTTTAGGAGTCAATTAAAGACCTGGCTCTTTAAGCAGGCCTTCCCTCCTATCAATACTTGATTTTCTTTTCATTTAGTTTTCTTTATTCTTTCCATCTTGACCAATGTTAATCTTGTTAATTTAAATTTTTGTTTTAACTGTATATGTATATTGTTTTATGAATGATTTTATGTAAGCTGCCCTGAGTAGACTTTGTCTAGAAGGTGCAGGATAGAAATCTAGTAATACATAAATAAAATAAATAAAAAATGTTTTCCTTCAGCTTTCCTGGTGTCAGTTGCCTTGCATGGATGTTTAAGTGTATTTCGATGACTAGCAATCTATTGGTAGAGAAGAGAGACAGCCTTAGTCACTTAGTGACTTTAGTCTTCTTACAGCCTCTGCTGCTTTAAAACCTTGATTCTCCAAGTGGTGAAATTTAAGTTTCTGCATTTCAATTATCCTATATACAGTACAGTATATACTTTGGCTGTCCTTACTTGTTAGAAGTCCCTTAATGTTGTTTTTCACTTTTGAACTGTGTTCTTCATGTGTTGCCTTGCTTGCTTTATCGTGTGAACACTCCATACCTCCCACAGAGAAACATGCACCACAAATTTGTACTCTTCTCTTGATACTTAAGTCTAGCCTTCCATCCAGTGGCCATAATACCTGGTCTGTTTTCTTCAAAAAAAAACTTTTCCTTTGCCTCTACTTCCACTTCCCCCACCCACCCCAGTTCTTGCAGCTTTACAAAGCTTTAAAAGAAATTAAAAGAGATAAAACTAACATTTAGCAAAAACTTTAATCAAATCATATAAACCTACCCTACCGTAAAACCATAAAAAATTAAGCAAAGTACCTCAAAATGCCATTTGAAAAAATACAGATTAAAAGCAAAAGATGAATATGGTAGAGAATGAGAGACAGTCACTGTCATTTTTAATGACTGTAATTTAAGCATTGTTTAATTTGTGAATTTCCACTAT